GTGGCATGACTTGTGGTCCCCCACATTCTCACACTATTATTATACATGTATATAGCTCTGACATATACTGCAGTGCTGTATTGAGAACAGTGAGCAAGTCATATTAGTTTCTGTACATAGGAGCTAATACTCTAATGCAAAATGGCACCGGCTGTAGGGGGACTACAAATCCCAGCAATACATTATACAGTAATGCATAACAGGGTTTGAATTGGACTCAGGACTTAGTAATGCACTGGACTAATGACTTAGTAACGCACTGGACTCTGGACTAAGTAATGCACTTGATTTAGGTCTTAGTAACGTACTGGACTCTGGAGTTAGTAACGCACTGGACTCAGGACTTAGTAACGCACTGAACTCAGGACTTAGTAAAGCACTGTACTCGGGACTTAGTAACACACTGAACTCAGGACTAAGTAGCACATTGGACTCAGGACTTAGTAACACACTAGACTCTGGACTAAGTAATGCACTAGATTTAAAACTTAGTAACGCACTGGACTCAGGGCTAAGTAATGCACTAGATTTAGGTCTTAGTAACGTACTAGACTCTAGACTTAGTAACGCACTGGACTCAGAACTAAGTAATGCACTAGATTTAGGACTTAGTAACGCACTGGTTTCTAGACTTAGTAACGCACTGGACTCTGGATTTAGTAAGGCACTGGTGATTCAACAAATCAATAAATATCACAAGATAAGGCCCTTTAAAATGTCATAAAATTCCTGGTTGTTTCTATACATGATTGTTTTTTGGAACCCTTTTAATGTTTGTTTTTTTTAAAATGGGAAAATATTTTATATGAGTATATTTTCCAGAAATATGTTTTTTTTAGATTTAAAGTGACACTAAACTCAGGAGTTAAACCTTAAAAATGCATTCAAGTGCCTTACCTATTGACAATACTGAACCTTATCTGTGTATCATTTATCTGCAGAACATCTCTGAATGGGTGCTGACACTGTCATTCATTCTGGAGGGTGGCTACTTTTGTCCCCCATGGTCCCGGTGTGTATTGAAAAGGTAGTCACTGCTCCAAGCTTGCTCCCGGGATGGTCTGCAATTGCAATACAAATTAGTAAACCAAACATGAGATTGTAGTCTATCACGGAAGTGAGCTTGGAGCAGTGACTACTTTACAACACACACAGGGTCCATGGAGAACAAAAGTAGCCCCCCTCCAGAAGGAAGGACAGTGTAAGCACCAATTCAGAGATGATTTGAGGATCTACAGCCAAGTGATATACAAATAAGATACATTGTTGTTAATAGTTAAGGTACTTGGATGCATTTTTAAGATTTAACTCCTAAGTTTAGTGTCACTTTACCGGTTATTTAAAATGTATCTTTGGCTGCTTAGCCAGGTCTAACAAGCATGATTTATTGTGGTTACACCATCAGTGAATCCCGCCAACTCCTACCTCTGATCACTTGATAACAATAATGGCATCATCATGCGGGAGAGGCATAGGTACCGAAGAAGCTACCTAGATATAGCCTGTTTCCCCACAAATGTGGCACCTGCCTCATAGTATTATGAAATAGATGACAAAGTGAAAAATTGAGAAAAGCTGTAGAATGTCTAGTATAAGTGATATATCATCCATTAATGACTTGTCTTTCCTTTTTTGAAATGTACGTTTGCTTGAGCCTTGATACGCTTTAAAATAAGGATCAAATATTTTTTTTTAGGCCACAAATGCTTTAAAGCTGAACTCTAGGCCAAAATAAAAGACCCAAAGGTGTGCTGAAGTGCGAGAAGTATGTTGATAGGAGGAAAGAGCATTCTTCTGCTTCTCCTTCACTGTCCAAATTGTAAGAAAGACAAGACCTATAAGTGTTACTTACCTGGAGTAGAGAAAAATCAGGTCTCCTGCCCTGATAGATAGGCCTGTGATGTGTGGCAGAGATGTGTATACCTCAGAACTTCATAGACAAAAATGCAAATCCTTGCTCAGATAAAACAGATCTCATAGATGTATTTTCTCTGTGTATATTTCTATTTCCCTGGAGTTTAGGTTTAAATGTCATTTAACAATAAATAATACAATGATAAAGCATTTTTAATTTGTACTATACCTGAGGTGTCATTGGGTATCCTTGGTGGTCTAGCAGCTTTCCCATTTCCAGGGTACGGTTCTGTTGTGCTAATCCTTCCAGGTGTTTTTTTGCCCCTGTGCACCACAGGGTTCTGTGACGTCAGGTCTTTAGACTGCGTGGTTGTGGAGCTAGTGGTGGACGTTGTGGTCCCCACCAAAGTCGTCCTAGCTGGCGTGGTAGAGGTTCTTGTGGTCTCATAAATCCCAGGGATTGTGCTGGACTCCACAAAGTCATCGTCCCCTGTCGGCCCCCATAAAATAAACTCCGACATGGTGGTGGGCTGACTTTCAAGGTCCAAGAAAGGCCTTAAGTTATTCCAACTTCTTCTTTGGAGCTGTCTCTTACCCCTTTTCAAATGAGTAATTTTAAGCAAGTCTCTTAGTCCTTGCGTTGAACGAAGTGTTTTTGCTCCTGTGGAGTACTGTAATGGCACATTTCTAGAAAAACTGCTGTCAAAGTCTTTATGATACAAATTTAAATGCTGTGATTCCAGCTGAGAACCACCGCCCTGCTGTAAGTTTGTAAACGGACTCCAAAAATACTTCTGACTTCTTGGCTTTGGCCTTCCCTTTGGGTTCCATAATGCTGTGTTTTGTATCCTATGTTCCAGCGATGGTCGCTGTAGATATCTGTACGCCGTACTCGGCGACCCCGATTCACAAATTATAAAATCCATGGCTAGTTGAAAAATGGCTATCAATATCCAAGCATGGCTTCCTATCGGAGGGCCTGATCTGCAGAAAGACATTGAGATTGTGTTAGGACACACTGACCAGAAATCATTTTATTATTTAACATTTCAGAAATATTTTCATTGATGTATCATTATTAAGTGAACACATCCCCGCAGAAATCAGCTTTTTATGAATATTTCACACTATTTAATCAAAACCGTGTTACACCATGTTGTGATTAATTACGCAAGAGAGGAAAACAGCTAATTTAATTATTTTTTATCTCGCTGGCAATGATTAAATATTTTAAGAAGAAACTAAGACTTAATTTTTTCAAATATCAGGATTAATATATAATATGTCATAATATTGTCGTAACGAAACTTCGCCCTGCACACTCAATGCACATTGCAACCATTTTTTCCTGACGCATCCTACATTCAGGCACAATCTGATGGGTTGGTTATAGACACTTGTATGCATGAAAGTGGACCTTTCAGTAAATTTACAAGTCTACATGAATACATTCTCGACATGTCGCTATGCATAGCAATAGTATACCTTTTCTGAATAGCTCCACCTTTTATCATTTACAAGTCATCCTTTGTCTTGACTGAGATGATGTCATCAGTCTGCTGCAGGCAGGAGTAAGCATTTTGTCAGTCTCCTCACCCCAAGGGCCGGTGCACACCTATGCAACACCCCACCAGTTGTACCTTTGTTCTGCGATACACGACGCGTTGCTGTTTTAGCCGCAATCGTGTTCAGAAGCACGGGCAGAATCGCAGCGGGGAAACTGCTCGATCTGCCCGGCGCGACTTGGGTGCCATTGGAAAATAATGGCACCCACAGCGTGATCGGTGCACACCTACATGACTCCTGACCGCGCGGATTGCCGCGCGGTCAGGAGTCATGTAGGTGTGCACCGATCACGTGCAAAATTGTCACATAGGCGTGCACCGGCCCTCAGTGATCATACTACTACATTGTAACTTCGTAGCAAGTTATAGGGTGTGATGCTAACAATTAATAACATCGTGCCTTGCGAGCAGCCTTATGCAGTTTCTAAATGTTGCAGCACAGGAGTGTAACTTTAAGGATGCATTTACAGTGGAATTGGAGCCAAAAATGCAAGTCAATGGAGGTATGTTGACTTGAGTCTATATAGTGCATTGACATCTGTTGCATTGTGTTACATTGGGTTTTGTTGGGAAGGGGGGGGGTGTTTTTTTCTGGTTTAATTCTTACACTAAGCTATATAAGATATTGGTTCTGCCCTTCGTTGACACACGTTAGCAGTTCACACCAATCCGTTGCGTTGCCCTGATAGAATTTAGAGCCCGCTGTACTTTTTTTTTTCAGCAGAGGGCAGCACAACGCGATGCAACGCACTAGTGCAAACTGCTCCCATTCCCACCCATTCATTTTCAGATGTCCTTGTGTTGGCATCTATTGAATAATGGAGGCCACCGCATCTGCTGTGGATGGGGATTTATTATTATAAGGAGTTAGTACAGATTTTGTTTCTAAAATCCCCACAACCATTATTACATTTAAAATATACTCATTTAAACATTAAAATGCTAACATCATTTCAAAGGTATCTTCAAACCTTTTTGAATGTGCAGCTTTCATTAAAATAATATATGGTAATCGTGCCATTAAATTCAAGTGTCAGATACATCCTGTTATAGGGTGACAATGACCTCTCCCTGTCTGACAATTGTTCTCCTGCATTGCCACCCTGTCACAAGCACATCTAGAGAAAACTATAAGGGCCGGTTCACACCACACAGAGTGCGTTCCAGAGGCAGAACGCACTGAAATGGAACCCGGCTGGCTTCCTGCGATCATGGGCGGGAGGGGGTATGGCGGTGCATTGAGGTTAATGGCACAGCAGCCACGTCCCTTGCCCACAGTGCTTGCAGCATTTTTGCAGATCGTAGTGGACAGGAACGCAGGCACTAATGTGCCACACGTTCCACTGCAGACGACCGCACTGCTTGCGGGGGGGCGTAGCTGCAGAGCCATTGACTTCACTGCACCGCCACACCCCGCCAGCCACTGAACGCAGGGAGCCAGCTGAGTTGCATTCCAGTGCGTTCCAGAGGGGTGAACCGCTCCTAGGTGACCATGCTACTGGAGAGGGCGGCCTCCATTGGGAAGTGGCCTAGCTGTATCACTTAACTGAAGCAGAAAAAAATCAGTTCACCAGCCTGGCAGTGCTGTGTCATCTCTGCACTAGCTGTAGAGAAATGCAAATCCATTGGCAGGTACAGGAGTTCCCATATATTTATTATAAAATGTATTTAGATTTCCATGGGAATTTCCATGTTCATATGACCAGTGGTGTTTGCTGTGCATGCGTGTTTAAAAGGATCCCCAAATATCTTTTATGAACTAATGCCAGCTAATGGGCTATAGAGAACAAGTGCACCCTGTCATCTAATTAGCATAACAAGAGAAGAACGTTATTCTATTTATTAACATTGTGTACTAGAAGAGAAGATTAAATAGTAATGATGAAATTACATTATTACAAGTAATGATCTGTATCTAAATTATGCCTGAGAGGAAAAACACAGTGGAGGGACTCAGGCACTTCTACACGTGCCATTGTCATATGATGATATTTTGGATATAAGCCGTTTCTGCTTCATTTTATTGTCTTTGATCTGCTAGTCATGCTGAGGCATGTTACAGTTTTATTTTTCAAAGCTGCGGAATCCATTTATTGCCACTCTGTTCTCGTATCTGTTGTCTAGGCATGAAACATTCGCAAATGCAGTTTTAACACTTTCAGGTTTCTTCAATGAGACGCTATGCCAATGATGATGTGCAAAGTGCGGTAGTCAGTGATAAGCGAATCAGAAAATCCACTCGATCAACATTCACTCTACTGGACTAATATTCATAACTCATGCAGCATTAGAAATGGCCTAGTAATGGAATTTATTGGGTCTCTACTTTACTTGAAGAGGACTCTGAGCAAATAAAATCTTAACCCTTGCAGTGGGACTACCCCCGCACTGCAAGGGTTAAGTGCTCATTTAGTCTCTTCAGCCATGCTCTCCCTGCGCTCCAGCAATGGAGTATCCCTCGGCGTTCTCACTTCCTCCGTCAGGGGAGGCAGGTGAGGCAGAGCCTCACCTAGTATTATGGAGGAAAAAGCTGTCAGCTTCAAGTCTGAAGTTGACAGCTTTTTCTCCATTCAGATCGGCTTCTATCAGGTTACACAACAGGGAAATCATCCCCGCTGTGTAACCTGTCATGAATGGAGTGCTACCAGGTAATTACAGGGAGCGCTGCATCTGGCTTTTGATAGGTAGTTAGGTTACACAGCAGCAGGCTTCTCCATTGATTCTGTAACCTAACTAGTGAGACAAGAGCTGTCACAGCCTCTACTCTGTGTTAGAGGCGTGAGCTCTGTGGATGGCTTGGACCAATGGCAAAGCACCATTAGTCCAAGGTGCCCAATCAAAAAAAGAAAAAAAGAAAACACTGAGACCATTGATCTAGATGCCTCAGCGGTGAGGAGCAAGTGAGGGACAAGGAGGCTCCTCCCTTCCTCTTTCACACTAGCTTGGGGGCCGGCTTGGGGCTGGGACGTTTCGGTGGGTGGTGGGGAGAGTTTCGGGGGCAGTGCCTGGGCGGGCTGGGACGTGCTGGGGGCGAGGCTGGGGAATGCCTCACCAGTAACCAACGGTACCGCACGTCACTGCTCAGCGGAGCGGAGGAGGATCTTGGCTGAAGGAACCAGCCTAGTATCAGCCGGGGTCATGGTTTGGGTGAGAATAACTTTATTCTTTTAGCTCTATAGGCAAAAAGAGCACTTAACCCTTGCAGCATGGGGTTAGCACCATTGCAAAGGTAAAGATGTTATTTGTCCGGCTCTTCTTTAACGATTCCACACTCTTTCTTGCTCAAGGTGCAGGGGATTATAGGATAACATTTAATGGTCAGTCCACCCAAAACTGATATTTTAGGTGAAGTTTGGTGGGCTGAACCAGCCCTTGGCTTCTTGAATATTCCAGCAGTAAGAACTTCATGCTATAGTTCCCGTCTGTGTTTCTGCCCACCTGGAAGTTTATGAGTGTTCCCACTTACCTTTTTCTGCTCCAGGTCCTCCTTTTGCATTCACCATAATATAAAATGCATTTAAATATGTAATGGCAGAGTGGAAACCCCTCATAATCAGAACAGGGTTGATGCACAGCCACAAGAAGTACTTGCCTTGATTGTTGCAGTGGCAATGGAGGGGTGTAGCTGGGGGGCACAGTCTAGCTGCATCCACTCACCCAGTGTAACCTGCAGAGCTGGGCTGTCAGTGTGACAGCAAGGTCCTGCTCTCTTTACGAGCAGCGCTCACAGAAGTTCCAGCATGAATGAAGCCTGCAACCAGAGGTTGAAAGTTTCATTCATAAATGCACCATAACAGTATTGTTGCAGCACATTTAGGTTAGTGCCTATGTGCATATCAAGGACCTGCCCTGGGTCTGTGCATACTGGCATTCCACTGCCCAGTGGCAAGTGCAGGTATTTGAATGACAGGGGGTCTGGCTAAGTGTATCCAAATCCAGTTTTGCAAAAGGTGGGGACAGATTAGAATCATTTTTATAATCAAGGTCCCTATATAACATTTTAGACAGGAGCCAATTAACCCTCCAACATGTCTTTAGAGTGTGGGAGGAAATTGGAGTACTCATAGGAAATCCACGCAAGCACAGGGAGAACATGCAAACTCCTTGCAGATAGTGTCATGATCGGGATTTGAATCAAGGACCCCCAGTGCTGTAAGGCAAAAGCACTAACCCCTAAGTCGCTGTGCCACCTATATTGTCCTAGTCAACCTTGTCACCAGCACTAAAAGAGAGGGATAATCAAAAATGTTGAGCTGTCATCAGAACAGAAAATCTTCTTATGGTGACAAGTGTTCATTTGGCAATTAAGAAAAGAATGACCCTCAGTTCCTATTGTACCAGTGGGACAGGAAGTGGAGGAAAATAAATCTTCTATACAACAACAACAAAAAAACATGATGGGGTTTCCATCTTTCCCTA